AGAGCCTTCCCCAGACTCCAGGACTGGCCCATCTTCCTCCCCAACCTCCTCACTGTCCGAATGTACTGCCAGCTCCACTAGCTGCTGGCAGGCCACAACAGTGGCAGATTTTACCGGAGTCCTGCGCCAATTTTTGCCTTCACTGAAGGAAATAAGAGAAGCACGAGAGATGCTTATATATCCATTCAGAAAAAGGTCTCAATTTATCGGCAGTTGCCAGAAGCCGTTTTAATATTTGAGAGGGACACAAATTGAGTCCTCTGACATTTAATAAGGTACAGGTTTAAGTCGCCCATTCTCAGTAACAGAGGTATCTTCTCTAACAGAACACCTCTGATGTAAGTCAGCCACTCCGCTCCCCTGCTGTGGAAGTTCCCATTAGTAGTTTGCAATCAACATACCTCGGGGTCAAAATCCAGCGTGCTCCCTTTTAACGCATTAACCTTTCTTTGCATCTCGTAGTATTGGGCCACAGCTTCCTTCTTATCACCTTGATTGTATAGCAGGATTGCGTAATTCAGACTGATGAGTGGGTTGCTCCTGTAAGAGGAAACGCAGTTTTAACCTTGAAATAACAAACCTCGGGTTTATTTGGCCAGTCACTAGCAAAAGTAGACAAATGCGACCAACTGCGTTGTAGTCACCAAATTCTTTCACACAGCAAGTATTACAGAGGCTTGATTTAAGGCCGTGGATCAGAATACGGATAGGAAGAGAGAGAATGGTAAAATAACAAGAGTTGGAAGGGACCCTTGAGGTCTTCTAGTCTAACCCCGTTTGTTCTGACCCAGGCTTCCTTAAAAAGCAAGAAGCAGAGTCTTGGTCCCATTAAAACCCCTCTGATTTACACGACTGTGAATTCCTTTCATTCCCCATCAGCAAGGCTTAGCAAACAGTCTTTCAGAGGAATGTTTATGAACACAAACCTTATCTCGTTTGGAGAGCTGCCAGATAACTAGTTTCCAAACACAGGGCAAGGCAGCACTTGGCACAGAGTCTCTTATAGTCACAAAGAGAACTTTTCACTCTTGAACTGACCGAATGAATGAATGGTTTCCTGCAAAAAGCCCCCTCCCCATTTGCTCCTCTTTTGTTTCCTATAGGAAGGGCCAATCACCTCCAAGGTGTGGCTTTACTCCCAAGTCAACCCTGCTCTCTTAGTTGTTCTTGTCTTCTGGCAGCTTTGAGCATGCACACACTGGGAACAGGCTCCAGCTGTCCCTCTGCCTCACTGCTGTCTAGCTCCCTCTCTGCCTCCGACGCAGAGCCCTCGTCTGAGCTTCCCTCAGCCCCCAGGACTGGCCCATGTTCCTCCCCACCCTCCTCACTGTCCAGCTCTGCTGCCAGCTCCTCTGGTGGGCCACAACACTGAGGTCCTTAATGCTCTCTGAGCTTGGTTGTTTTCTTGCTGACGTTTCACAACCCAATTAGAAGACATCATCAGTGCTAAGACGGGAGTAGGGTTTGCTCTCTGTTTATATAAAGTGGTTTGGGCAATCAAGAAAATACCAATGCAGACAATCAAACAGCAAACAACAGCCTAATCAAGGAACTAAGAAGAAAGCCATGCACCCATCAACCGACAGGGCAAGTCACTTGTATATAAACGGAGGGCAAACCCCTCTCTTCCTACCACTGATGATATTAGCTAGTTGGGTAATGAAACATCTGTAAGCGAACAACCAAGCTGTGAGAGCACCAAGGGCTTCCTTTACTCTGCTGACCTCAATTTATTCTCCTTTTCTTCTCAT